CGATAATAGATTTGATGGAGAGATTCCACAATGCTTGGGTAATATCAGTTCGAACCTAGTGATGGTAGACCTGGGGAACAATAATTTTCATGGCACCATTCCAAATACATGGGATGATTGTGGTAAATTAGAAGGACTTATTTTGAATGGAAATTCATTAGAAGGRGAGGTGCCAAGTGGGTTGTCTGAATGTAAATCCTTGAAAGTGCTTGATTTGGGAAACAACCACTTAACTGGTACATTCCCTCACTGGTCAGCTAATCTTCAACATCTCCAGGTTCTTGTTCTCAAATCCAACAAGTTGCATGGTCCCATAGAAACCTCTTCAATCGTTGAACACCCATTTTCAAGTCTCAAAGTGCTCGACTTATCTCAAAACAAGTTTRTAGGCCATCTCYCTCGAAACTATTTTCAAAATTTTGATGCGATGAAGAATAGGGGGGATAAAAATCGCACAAAACCGGAATATTTGCGCATTGGCAAGTTCTACTCTATCACTGTTGCGGTGAAAGGTTCGGAACTTCAATTTCCAAAAATTTCAGTTGACTACACAATTGTTGATCTATCTAGTAACATATTTGAAGGAGRGATTCTAGATGTCATTGGTAGTCTTARCTCTTTGATAGTGTTGAACTTATCCCATAACAACCTCAATGGTCGAATCCCAAAAGCTCTAGGAAATCTCCTAAAGATCGAGTCGTTAGACCTATCATGTAACCAGCTAAAAGGAGAGATCCCTCAAAGTCTTGCCTTTATCACGGATCTTGAAGTCTTAAATCTCTCGCAAAACCATCTTGTGGGCCGTATTCCTGACGGAACACAGTTCAGGACATTTAAAGCAACCTCATTCGAAGGGAATCCGGGACTATGTGGGTTTCCGCTGCCAAAGTGTGAACATCAGAGTGCCCCACAGCTTGAAGTCGATGCAGACGAGGAGAGTGGATTTACATGGAAAGTGGTGATGTTGGGATATGGATGTGGAACCTTACTTGGATTTGGGATGGGATATATGATGTTGTCAACGGGAAGACCAAAATGGTTCAATGCAATTGCTGATGAAATAGAGCATATGATCATGCAGAGACGGAAGAAGAGAAGACATGTTTATATTGGAAAATGAAATCAATTCCTTAAGTAACTGGTGCGTTTTTTGCATTAATTCTTATGTAATCAAATTCTGCTAAACACCTTATCATTGTTGTTGTCTTCAAACGTTTGTGATGCAGGTAGTGAGATACATCAATAAGATACATCAGATCATTTCCTGTATCAACCGCAATTCCTGAGGGTCCAGATTTCCTCTCATGCTTCTGACCTTTAACTCTTTTCATAAATACTCACAATCATGCATGTTTTAAATAACCACGATGTACAAAGATATCACACACGAGTATGATGAATAGTAATGAATATTAGCAAATGCAATTAAAATGAGGCTTGGATGTTTAAGAGCTTGTTATACACGACACAAGTCGGTAAAGCATTCTTTGAAATGATGTTGAAATTCGGTATGATCCCAACCGTCTTATTTATGCAATTAGATGCAGCCACTTTTGAAACAAGGAAAAGTGCAAACTAGCAATAAATTATCTAGCCATCAGTAGAGATGGCTAAAAATCGGTACCAACCAAAACCCCAACGCCTAGTTATGAGAACCGGTTCCGGACCGGACCCAAATCAGTCCTACTTTTTCTATAAAAAGATCATTTTTTACATATAAACTTTTTTTGAATTTTTTTAAAGAATACTAAATTTTTATTTTAATACACTTTAAAATATGTACTTTGGTTTGTTAAAGAGATGAGAAGTAGGAGTTGTTTAAAACCGAAATCAAATACGAGCCACAATCACGAATTATAGCGAGAATTGTGAACGTTTTTTTGCGTTTGTGAGTTGATATCTTCCTCCGTTCATCATATGACTTATATATAGTGTATAAAGGGTCAATGAGAACAAAAAAAACGATCAAAAGATGAAAAAAATGGGTCATATGAATGCTTAAATGGCTATAAAAAACAGTAACATTTTAAAAAAATGGGGCCAGGACGCCTTGGTTTTTTGATGAAAAGTGTAACAAATCCCTTAAGCGATGGTCCCAAACCGGTTGCAATTGGTCCCGGAGCGGGCCGATCCCAAGTCGGTCTGAGGTCGTGCCTGATTCACATATCTAGTTATCAGTGCACACAAATCCACGAGTGGAGGGCTTCTAGGTCTGTGGGTGAGGTGGGCCTAGGTACCGGTACGGGGAGTATAGAAAATACAGATTTGGGCAAGTAAAATGAATCTCCCATTGGGCCTGTGTTGCATCAATGTGGCCCAATATTGACTCGACCAGTCCTAAGTAGGTCTCCATCTCACACTTAGAGAAGGCCAAATGGGCCCGATCCGAAACCAGAGAAGGCCAAATGGGCCCGGTCCGGAACCAGCAGAAGCACGGGACTGGAATCTAACTTAAGACCGGCCCGGCCCGGCCCAGGACCGGTTTGGGACCACCAGTTAAAGACCGCTTATGGGCCTGACCCCAGACCGGCCTGATTTAAAAAAAATGTATTTTTAAATGTATTTTTAAATATATTTCTAACTTTCTAAGTATATTTCATTGAAAAAAATTACAAAATTATAATAAAACATCATTTTCAAGTATATTTAATTGTCTAATTTAATCTTTATTCACTATATATGTCATATGGTGTATCGGGAACGATACCAACTCACAAATGCTAACAATGCTCACAAAAAAACGTATTTTTTAAGTGTATTTAATTGACCCAATCACATATTTTCAAGTGTATTAGAAAAAAACATTTGTATTTTTTATAAATAACTTCAAAATAGATTACGTAAAAAATCGGGTTCTTTTACATAGAACAGGTTTGGGCAAGGCCCAGGACCGGGACCGGTTCTCATAACCGAGCCTCATACACCTTAACAAGGCCTTCGTATTTGGTTCAGGACCGGGACCGGTCACACCATAACCAGTCACGGGATCACTATTTTGGGACCGGGACCGATTTGGGCCTGGCCCAACACCGGGTTTTGGCCATGTCTACTCACACTATATCGAGTGGTGATGGTTCAAAATCGGTTTTGGGTCGGAGCAGGTCTAACTTGGTTTCGGTCCTAAAAACATGATTAATATGAGATTTGGCCCTTAAATACGTTGTTATGTGAATGTACTCATATAAAAAATGAAATATAGACTCACAAGATCTTCATATATAACAATTATAAGTAAAATCCACACAAAAGTCTTTAAAACAGAGAAACTCACATTAGGCTAGACCTTCCGGTAATGATGCAACTCT